AGGTCAAAAGAAACAGAGTTAATATCTCTAATGTTGATGGATGTAACTTCATGCTCTGTCTCTATCTAAATGAGACAAACCAGGCTTTTGAGAAGGATCATAAATATTTCCTTGTGTGAGTGAAGATGCTGGAAGTAGGAATCGTGGGAGCCTACTAAAGCTGGCTATTAGCAGAAAGCGTTAATAGACTCTCTTTCTAATTGACTTAGAAGATACTTAGTTGACCCCATTGCTGTATTTCCTGAGAGCTCGTAGTCTTTACTTCCTCCATCCTCTCAACTCCCTTGGACATAAGTGCCAAAGGAGGAACTGAAGCAGAGAGAGAAGGAGAATCAAATTTTATGGGTGCTTGGTATCTACAGGCAGGGGTTACATGTCCAAGGAGTCAGGAATCAGGCCCTTCTAAAGTCCAGCTAGGCACTCTGTGGGCACCTGCAATCCTCCCTAGATGACAAGCGGGAAGCACAGGTCACAACCTTGCATGCCGATGGAGTGCACACCAAAGGTAAATGACATCCACAGGGGATAGAAATGTGAAATTTTTAATTGCTAGTTTGGGCAGCTGATAATAAGAAAGAATGTTCCTACAGTGCTAATGTTGCCTTGATGCTGTCCTTCACGAACAACTAGCCTCTAAGTGGAACATTCCACTGAGGTCCCACATGTCTCGTCGAGGCACCTCAAAACCGGGCTGAATCAGTTTTTCTCCACTGCCAGCAAGGCCGTGGGGCTCAGGAATATACTTCTCAGGTTAAGGCCAGCTGAGGTGTCATCAGATGTGGAATATACTGTTCTTGGAATCAGGAAGGAACAGAAAGAGGAATAGATGTACGAGAAAAAAAAAAGGGGGAGGGAGCAGGGAACAGCCCTTAAAATAGCTTTTTGTATTTTCTATTTTGAATCTGTTTTAATAAAAACAGAACAAAATGTGTAAGAAACTTATGGTCTAATCTGAATCCTACTGATGTTCATGGAAAGCTCGTCAGTGAGTATAGGACCAGGTCCAAGAAAAGCAGTTTATTATTCCCTTAACTTCTATTTATCCACAGCTGTGCCCTGTTGCATACAATCTTCTTAGATCTTGCCAGGTTTCATATGAGCCTCATCAACAGTGGACCTGGATAAGAAATAGAGATCAGCTGCCTCTTTGCTCTGAGTTAGTCTGCCCAGAACAGTGCTGACACTAAGGTGCCTTGCCCAGAGCATCCTGGTAGGATTCCCTGCAGTAAGGCTCAGGTAAGAGGTGAGAGATCTCTCTGTCTTGTTTCCTCTGCTCACTGGGTGATTTTGGTCACAGCAAGGTTGTAAGAGCTCAATGAAGTTGTTTCTGCATGAACAGCTTAGTGAAACTATCTATGTTTGGTTATGATCAAAAATGGAAATTAAAAATCATTTGGGATATATAAGGAATGGGCCAGAAAACTGCCTTGTGTTGCCAGCACCAGAACTAAGCCAGGCACCTGGAAGCATCTCATCTTTCATGCCCAGTCTCCCAGGCTGGAGAAACCAAGTTCCAGTTCTGACCCTGCCAAGGGTTTCTGAGTGCTCTCCTAATGAGTCATTGCCAAGTCTATGCATCTGTCATAAAAGCAGCTGATCAGAAAAGGTGACTAAGGGAGGCTGTATTGTCTTTGGGGATCTGTACTGTCTTTGGTAAGTGTGTTTGAGTTTGAAAAGCCAAGGGGTTTGAGCCAGGAGTATTTGTGTTGTTTGTAGGGAAATATCTTCAACATGGGCCAGGCTCCTGTCTGCTCTTTGGAGAATAAGACTGTTTATGGAAATGGTGGTGTGAACAGTTGGTGACTTTGGGTTTGAGGTTAACCCTGAGTTATCAATATGCAAGTTTATCAGCACTTGGAAGTCCAGAATGAAGGTTATATCTAAAATAAGCCCACCCACATCAAAAGGTTGGAAATATGACTTTCATATTTTTTCTGCTATGTAACTATGGCTATGACATCCTTGCGGGGGCTGGTCCAGCTTAGACTAAGTCTATTCCTGGGGACATGCTATATTTTTTTTGAGCCATAGGTTATGTTTTTAGCTATGTTTGCTTCTGGTGGTGTGGGGTTTGTCCCTGCATATCCCACCAGTTGTCTGTCCTTCTGCAACAATCATCTGCTGTACAAGGTGTAGAGTGGGAGCATGTGATGGGAGAACATGGGTTTCTGCTGAGGCATCAGTAAAGGGAGCCTCTGGTGTGCCCCGCAGAAAGGGGAGCAGGACCTGCACTGTCAGTCCTCTTGGGCTGTGAATGGTGATCACCTGTGGGGTCTCCCACTTAAAGAGAAAACACACCAGCCCTCCCTGCTGTGTGGGCCTCGGTGGTGTAACACTGTGCGCCCTGGAAGTGGAGCCGTTTGGGCTGGCGTTGGTTCCCTGGCTTGTCTGAATGTTGTCCCCGTGAAACAGCTTCTTGCCAACTGGAAACGCAGCATGGCCCCGTAGCTCCCGAAATTAAAATTTCATTAAATGGTTTGATAAATGTAATTGTTACACAGCTCTGTTGTAAGCTTCCCACTAGCCACCTCCAACGCCTCGTCGGAGCTGCTCCGCCTGTGCTAATCTCCAGGATCTGTGGCATTTGCACAGCATGGCCCATGGAACAGCACCTCCCCTCCGTGTGCCAGAACAGGCAAAGCTCAACGCAGCCAGGTCTGAAACAATCCGAGCAGGAAGCAGCAATAACTGGCCTGGAGCGAAGGCAGGGAGTTGCCCGTAGACAACTTCTGAGAGGAGGTGCCCAATTTGTGATATCTGATCTCTTCCCATCTCCTTCAGCCCAGGTACAAAGGCAGAACGTAAGGCTGGCAAGAGCTCCCTTCTTGCCCACTTCCCTAGCTCCGAGTGCTGGAGTCGAGGTGTGCGGTGCTGGCTGTGTGGTGACGCAGGCGCGCTGGCCTCCATCCATGCTCGGCAAAGACCTCCAGAGCTGGGTCCGCCTCAGGCACAGGCTCCCAGTTCCCTAAGCGGGAAGGACAAGCTGGTGGACACCAACGCTGGTTTCTCTTTGGAGCACCTGAAGGCTGGCGCTGCTGCCTCGCCACGGGCGCTGTGTCCCATGACTTGTCCCCCACAGCCCGCACGCTGCGGGTAAACCAGGCCGCCCAGTCAGCGCCTTCCTACTGGAGGGGTCAGAACAGGCTGAGGCAGGTCCCGGGCGAGCTCTGGGGCTGACGAGCTGACAGCTTAGTCACTGGGTGCTCTCCACAGGGCCGTGTAAACATTGCCCACAGTTCCCTGTGTCGGCCCATGCCAGAGGGCCCGGCTGGAGCGCCGTCCTTCTGCACCCTGCGCCAAGGGTCACGCGCTGGGGCTGGCGGCCAGGTGCCAAATGCAGGCCGGAGCTTTGTGCAGCCGGTCTGCGAGAGGTCGTCACACGCCTCCTTAAGCAAACAGGGATCCACGCCATTTGATAAATCATTTACGAGGAGAAGTCAGAAGCAAAGAACTAGATTAACCAGGTCACTGGGTGTCCTGAGGGAATGACGTGTCACTGGAGCTGAAACAGCAGATCCCACAGTTGCAGTCTGTTGCCTGCCTCTGTCCTGACAGCAATTCATGGAAATCCCTGGAACTAGACACTAGAGATGGAAAAACCCATTAGCTCACGCAAGTCAGCTTGCTAGTTAAGGCAGTCATTCCCTTTGTGTGCTTTTTGGCAAAGTTAAAATGTCTCAAGAGGGGATTTCCACCAGCTTCTTCTCAAGGGGAAACTATTCCACCTATCGGGAAGGCTGCCTTGAGTGAAGTTATTTTTGTGAAACAGAAGTAACTTCAAAAACAGAACAAGGAAAAAAAAACACCTTCTGATGCAGAAATGTGAGCCATCATGTTCTTCTTAACAGAAAAACAGAAATGTGCCATGCCTGGCAAAGCTCCAAATGGAAACTGTGCATACGTCTGTGTGTATTTATATATATCCACGTAGGGGTGTGTATGTGTGTCCCTCTCCTTGCTCCAAAGAGTGGTGTGACTTTGTGACTTCATTATAATCAGTGTGTGTTGTTGTGATCTCTCGGTTTATGTAATTCTGCTGACAACAAGGCCAAGAAAACGGCCTTAGGAGGAAGCACACCCATTGGAAATGGGAGACATCAGCTGGTGCCAGTGCCCCTGTGCCCAGTCGTGTGAGCAGGGATGAGGCTCTTCCACTTCTCTGGGATTGCTTCCCCTCGGTTGTGAAATGTGAAAAGATTGTCCCACCTTCGCTGGTGCTGGGGATCTGATGTTAAAAACATTAACTTGTGAAGGTGCTCGGGGCCTGCAGTAATGGGAAAGATGATGCAATGGGGAGCTGTGTCGCAGAGGCTGTCAGCAGAAGCTATGGAGATTTTTGGCAGCTAAGCTTTTTAGCACCTGGGAAGATTTAGGGTTAGTGGGAAATAAATGAGCTGTGTGATGGCATTTAAATGCTTATCATTTGTTTCGGAGCTAATTCTGCATGCAGATGAATGGGTGTAGCACACAACGCTGCGCTAGCGCCTGCAGAGATAGTGAGCATTACCCTCTGCTCCCATTTAGAAAGCTTGCAGCCAGCAAAAATGTAACTTGCAGCGTTGGTGGCTTAGATCGGGGAGCTGAGATCTGTGGCCAGGGCAGGCACAATGGCCATGCTAACAGCGAACAAGCACCTTGTTATCCCAGGTCCTGATTACTAGTGCAATGGGCTATACGTCTCGTATGAGAAACAGGTCTGATATTGCATGTGTGTTTGCCCTGAGTTTGTAACTCCTTCTCCACGAACTGTTTTGTTTGTCTTTCTGAATCTCGCAGCTGGCATAGCTGCCTTCCCCACCTGAGATGCCTTAAATTTAGATGCTGTATTTTGCAATGGTCTAGGGACATGGACTTTCACTTACCAGTCGGTTAGGTTTCGGTTGCCCTCCTGAGCACCATGTGTGCTGTTGTGTCCCTGTAGAATAGTTCATGAAGGCTGTGCTGAACATAGCTAGCTTTGATCTGGGCTTTCTTCCTTGCAGGGTTTTCACGTTGTTTCCTTTGGAGAAAGGAGAAAAAAAAATCCAGCACATTGAAGCATGAAGGATTTCTATAAAAGAAAGATGTGAGTCATGGAAAGGGATCTAACAGAAAAGCATAGGTCAAATTCTGGGCCTTGACTGGGTCCTCTTAATTGCTCTCAGGAACTAGCCAGCTGACCGACTAAGCCCCTTGCCCCTTGCACTGTGGAAGGATAAGAGCAGGTAAAGCCCAGTAATATTTTAACTGTGAGATTAACTCTATGTCAGCTCAACAAGAGACGCTCTTCTCTTTCTTTAGATGAGTGCTGCTGACCTGAAGCTCTTCCACGCACCACCAAAACACTCTTCTGCCACTAGGTATGGTGCTGGCCATCCCTGCCTGCCTCCACATCCTGCCTTCTCCTTGACAGATACCAGTTCAGCCTTCAGTATGGAAAGAAAATTGAACTCCAGAGACAACCTTACAGAAAGCTGACCCTCAAGATTTCATATTGCACTCCAGGTCAATTTAGGTGGCTGTTCTTCCCTAATGACAGGCTGCGGAATGAGGAAAAGGCCATCTTCCTTTTAGATCCTGATGGCTATTCTTCTTTTCCATTTCCTTATGGCTTTATCAGTGCTCCCTAGACTGCAGGCCCTGGTAGGAAGAGTTTAGGGAGGTTTTTAAGCTGTGTAGGTGCTCAAAGGTGTTTCCTTCTTCCCCCTAAGTACTTCTGAGATCCTGATCTTGCATACCTTGAAATTTGTGAGTATTTTGCCATTGCTTTCAATGGGGGCAATAACAAGCCCTGAGAGATTCTTCGTAGCCAACAAAAGTCAAGGAGGATCTTTCTGCAAACTTCACTGTAGCAATAAAAAAAAAGTTGTGCACGTGGCAAGGCATAAGGCAAATAAGCACAAGCTTAGTGAGGATGACTGATACGAAGGTTATATTTAAAAGAGGAAAATACTTAATGGTTTACTTAAAAATGAAAGTTGTGTGAATAGATTTGTACAGGGAAACCCAAGCACCCCTCCAGTACCATGAACCTGATTTCAGCAGCATCCTGTCAGGGCCTGAGAACCAGACAGGCAGACAAGCCAGTGTCAGAAAGTGGAACTGACTAATCTGACTAGTCTGCGATGAGTTGAAGATGAGTGAATTCATGCCCCACATAAAAAGTGTGAAGAGCAAATGAAGATGATAGTGGCTTTTTCTTTTTGTTATTGTTATCCATTCTCACAGAAAAATCAAGAACAACATAGGTGATGATTTTAAATAGCAATGCAAATCCAAAGAGTAGCACCATATGGCCCCGAATGTTCAGCTGTGATTAGTGTGTGTAACTATTTGGTTTCCTGAGTGCTTGTCTTGAGCTACCTTTAAAAGACCTGATTTCCAATAAATGTTCAGCACTGAAACACCAACCCCGCTTGAGAGAGTGGGTCATGATCTACTGACTCCCTTTGGGAGCCATTTCCTCTGGAGAAGCAAACAGTTTCCTTCCATTGCCTCACAAAGCTGTGTTTCCAGTCCAAGTCACCTGCAGTGGGACATGCTCCTTCTCTCTAGAGCAGAGGCTAATGCAGGATGAGGGGAGGCAAGAGGTGGTGGTGGGAAGCCTTGTGCAGCAGGCAGATCGTTAGCAGATCCTCACAGTGTGCTGGGAACAACCCACATGCGGGTGCAGGTTGATGTGGTTGCAGGAGCCCATAATCGCTGATTTTTCAGTTGCCTACCTACGTTTGGAGGGTGTCCTTTGGCTAGTTTCAGACATAATAACAGCATGATATCGTAATAATATATTATACTCTGATGACACCATCGCATGGAGTAAGCCACGGCAATCTGATACCATCCTGCGAATGTTGAGATGAGCATTACTGCTTCAGAGGACAGGTGGGTGGTGGATAGATGGAGCTGGCATTACCTATGCTGTCAGCTCAGGGTGGGAACGTGACCTACTGGGTTAAATTACGTGGCTGGGAGCTTAACAGCTCCCTTTTAGATCTACCTCAGTCGCTGTGGGTGAGTCACCAACCTATCTGCATTCACTTCTTCCATCTGTGAAATGGTGACAATAATATTTCCCCTCCCAGTGTGGGGAAGGGAAGGGAGGATGTGCGAGAATGAGCAAATGTTTACAAAGCACCTTGTGAAAAGTGTGCGCGGGAGAGCTCGCGCTGACGCCCTGCACGTTGCCACCGCCGCCGGGCACAGTGCCCCGCTGGCCAAGGGGCACCAATGGCCTCAACGGGAGCAAAGGAGAAAGTGCCACAGGAGAGAAGCAGCGAGACCAGGCTTAGCATGCGAGCAGGCTTAGTATGCAATTGGCTCCGCTGCTAAATGTAAAGCTGCTTTTAAAGGTAGACAAAAGAGTAAAGTAGACAAAGAAATGACATGTGACCATTTTTTTTTTTTTTTTTCTGTAAAAGGGCACCGTGATCTCTGGTTTCACTTCCCAAATGGGAAGCAGAACAGAGAAGTGAATCCCCTTGAAATAAAAGTGAAGTTAATAACGGGACACCTCTAGCTGCTTGCCACATCCTGTGCATGCTGCGTGTCCTGTTTAGAGCCGGCAGAGCTCCTTCTAGATGCTTCTTCACGGAGTTAACCCTTTGCTGAGCGCGACGCAACTCACGGCGTTGCGTAAACAGCCGGGGGAAAATCCTGCCGGTGTCTCCCCGCCAGCACGGCGCTCCTGCGGCCGCAGCTCCGCTCCGCCGCGCTCGCGCCCGCCGCCTCTTGCGTAAGGGAGCTCTCCTCCTTCCCGGGAGCTCTCCTCCTTCCCGGCAGCCCTCCGGGGGGCCGGCCGGCTCTCGCGTGCCGGCCCGGGCCTCGCGCGCAGCGAAGGCGGCCGCGCCGCCCTTGCACAAGCAGCGCTTGCTCCGGCGCATACGCAACGTCTGGAGGCGCCGCGCGCGCCCACGCTGCGCTTGCATCGGCCTCCTGCTCCTGCACGCGCGCTGCCTTCCGCTCCCGTGTGCGCCACTGCTGCGGGGAAAGCACGTGTTTCACAAACATAAACTGGCCGTGACCGCGTACAGCACAGATACAAGGCAGGTTTGAACTACTCCATCGCTTCGTCCTTGCAACGAGCCTGGGGCCGGGGTGAGCTCTGTGGCTGGAGGATTCAGTTTCTTCAGAAAAGGCAGCTTTAATTAGCACAGGGCTTGACCTGTGCGACTATTGCTATCGATCACCTATTTTGAACCTATGTCTTTTGATGCAGGGCTGCCTCTTATTGCTGTCCCTCTTCCTTCTGCTCCTATTGCCGGCACCCTCCCTGCAGTAACAGGCTCGCTCCTCTGAGCCGTTTCACCAGAGACACTTCAGCTGCTGCCCAGCTGTTCCTCCGTGGGATTTCACCGTTTCGGTCAAACTTAGAAATTTCAGTTTGCATTTTGAGCCAGCTGCGTGTGCAACAGACATGGTGACATCCTCACAGCTTCGTTCTCTGGGGTTTGGTCCATCCAGTGATATTAAAGGTGACAGTCTGGTCCACCTTCAGGTCATGCTTTTTTAATCTAGACTGATGGAGTGGGGGGGATGTCAACCTACTACAAACTTCAGTAGCAATTAGTGAGTGTAATTTCTCAGGTAAAAGGGTGAGTTGTGCATGAACTGATGGGCAGTGAACTTTGGAACTGGAAACCATTGATATTTTCTTTTTCCTCTCTTTTTAATATTGCTACCAGTGGAGAAATGTTACTAACGCCGTAGGCTTGAAGATAGAAGCTCCCCATGCCCAGGCAAGCTGCAGCAGTAGGCAAAGCAGGCAGGTTGTGTGTGTGCTGTTACCCTGGTGAGGTGCAAAGATTTAGTTAGAATTTCTTCATAAAAGCATCCTTCCATTTCCAGATGATTTCAGCCCTCTCTGCTGGGCTGGCAGGGAGGATGGTCACGGCGCAGAAAAGACAGCAGTTACTGCAGTAATTAGACTGTGTGGGTGCTTGTCCCCTGAGAAACGACTGTCCCGCTGGCTGAACTTTCATTCCACCCAGGATACCAGGTAGCTGCTGAAGGGCAAGAGTTTCCTGTTGCCAGGAGGAATCCCAGGAACTCCTCTCCAGCTGGGCTGGATGCGCTCGGCAGAGCTCAGGGCAAGGGCTGCTCCGCTGCTCCCTGTGACCTTACAGAGGTGCTCCCAGACTCCTGATTTTGTTCTCGCCGCTTGCCAAGCAGCAGCTCCCCTGCCGAGCTGCGAGCTGGGGATTTGGCACTTCCCAAGTGGCGCTAGACGGCCGGGAGCGCTCCTCTCCCGCAGAGCTAAGCCCAAACCTCCCAGAGTCGGGTTACAAAACATTGTCAGTCACGTAAAAATGGTTATATATATGTGTGTGTGCATATATAAAGCACTGCCATTGATTCTATAATGTTTACCGTTTCACTCATTTTAGTCTTGGGGATCACACCCCAACCTTTCCAAGTTGTCTTTTTCTCTGCAGCAGCTGGCAGGAAGTTTGTTTTATTGAAAGCAGCAGTTCCCTTATAATCACACCATCTATAGAACAAGGCCTTAAAGGGAAAGAGGTGGTAAGAACGAAGGGTGGTGGCCTTCCTTCTCCCTTCACACTACCGCTGGCCATGCTCAGTGCCTCGCACGTGTGAGATACCCCTGTGTCTCAGCCCGCTCTACACAGCAAAGGATCTGCGCAGAGCAAGCGCCCCGCAGCTGGCCTCGAAGGCATCCCAGGCTTGGCCATGTGCAGGAAGCCACACTGTGAGCTGGGCATCAAAGCATCCTCTGTGCGGGCAATGTTTTCTGCGAGGTGGCCCAGACAGCAGGCCCACAGTCCCTCCTTTTGTGAGGAGCAGGATTAGATCTTCTTTGATGCCAATTAGTTGGAGCCTACTTCTTGGTTCTTGGCCAGAAGTCCTCCCCTCCCTCGGCGCAGTGCCCTGTGCAGCACTAGGGGAGCAGAAGGGCGAGAGAGCATCGGTGTCTGTCGTCTTCTTTTGAAAAGGTCCTGTAGGAGCCTATGAAATATCAGGCAGATACGTTTTCTTCACGCATGCTGCTCAGCCTGCATTTGACTTGCACTTCCTTTCGAGCAGGTGACTCTTGAGCCTTCCTGTTGCTCCTTCAGTTCCTTTGACTTTTTCTGATCCTCTGGGTCTAAATATCAGTCTCAGCCCGGCAGCAGCAACACGGAGCAGAGAAATCACACCAAAAGACATCCCAAGGTAGAGAAATTCCGCCTGGAACATTTGACAGGCAGATGTCACCCAGTAAGCCGTCGCCCCATCCCGATCCCTCCGTGGAGCTGCCAGGTCTCAGCAGCAGCCACACACAGATGTGCAGCATTTCACCCTTCCCCGTTTCTCTGAAATGCTTGCTATATACAGGAAAAAAAGTGGAAACGCTGGAGCCACCGCTCCGCCCCCAGTCAGGCTCCCTTCCCGGACGGAGAAGCTGGGTGCATTCCTTTGCTCTTTGTCACCGCTCAGTGTTCACTCTCCAAACTTCAGTTCTGACTTTGTGTGCTTCTTTCCCGGCTTTACAAAATTATACGAAGGCCTGGTCGCATTTAGGCCACCCTAGTGAGTTACTGACTCTCTGCTCCTGTTTCCCGCTGTCCGCGCAGCAGATCAAATGCCCATGGGCATGGCATGGTCTGCCATGGGCAGATCAAATGCCCATAAACTCATAGGGGAATATCCACCGGGAACAGCCC